ATGATAACTGTACCTGACACATAAAATTGAGCTCAATCAAGTGTTAACATTTTACACTGCTGCTAAGTGCTACATGGTGTAGTAAAACATAACGTTCTCTAAAAAAAAATTTGTTAAAAATATCAGATACCTCCAGCACATTTGAGGCATCGCCTGCTTCCATTACTCCCGTAGCCCTCAGATTGCCCAACTCTGATAGAGCAACAGTCACTATCATCAAAGGCATGGACAGATTTCCCACAAGTGTCACACTTATGTGCACCACTTGGTGTGTCATTATTTAGGCATGCAATGCATCTGATATCTGGCACAGGTACTGCTTCTAGTTCTGTGGTAAGAGGACAAAATTACAAATTAATATTACCTTTAAAAAAATAGTCTGGGTACCATATTGTGAATAAACAGTACCTTATGGCTCATTCACTTCGTTTGAATCATCCTCAACAATAGTTTCTGGAATTCCTTTAACCTGGTACCTGCTACGGTTGGACTTCTTCTTCCTTTTTTTTGCTGAAGAAGGGCGTCCAATAACTGGTACCTTTGTTGGCAACCGTAACTTACTCCGTATTTCAGGCACTGAAACTGTGCGAGGCACTGTCTCAAGTTGTACGGTATTCTCATTGGCAACAGTAGGGACTTCTTCAAGTCGTGCTGAATTTATTTCATCAGTATTAATGCCTAAATGATCTGTTAAAATAATGAATCATTATAAACAATTACACATCAAAAACTTAAATAACTTCAGAATATTCTTTGTTCTTACCTGAAGTAATAAGTGGCTCATTGTCTACAATCTCTAAAACAATAGGTATGTTGGATGGACCACTACCAGCATCTAACCCAACAACAGCAACCTCTTTTCCAGATTTAAGGAGGTCTTCCACATTAAGAAGTGCTTTTACAGCACAATCAAATTGATGGCCAGCAAAATTAGCTACTAGACAAGATATGCGTTTGCATAGTTTGTCAACTGCATTGAACCGATCAACTGATGTAGGTGGTTTGGAGTTTTTGGATACCTTAACAGAAGAAGACAGAGCTCCAACACAAAAATAGGACTGTTTTCCATCATTATTGTCTGAGCTTTGGAGTAAAGCTGTCCACCTTTCAGGTACCAACGATTGGTCATAAATTTGAATACCTGTGCATGCAAAAGGGTAAATAATCAGTACATACATTTTAAAGCAAATAAATATTAAAATCAAAAATACTATCTTAGAAAGCAATACACACCATCTGTTCTTCGCTGCCTGAATATGTGGCTGCATGGAAGTTTAAACTTGACAAACAATGCACAATCACAGCTATCAATTGTAACTTCATGTACAGAACTTGTTGGCTCTTGCAGACTTCTTTCATACTGCCTTTGAAGCTGATCAGCTACAAAAGGAGTATTCCCTTTCTGGATGCACTGTATAATCGGATCTTTGGAATATTTGGGATAGTGCAACTTCAACTGCTGGTTGAAGTGCTTATGTTCCCATTCTACATTGGACCTGTGGTTAAGCATCCGTAGTTTCATGATAACAAGGGCAACAGGTAGCTTTTCAGAGATAACTTTCTTAATTTTGGCATTGTGGCTCTCCACTCTGCTTGTTGTCCTTTCTCCTAAAGTAAGTGCCTTGTTCCTTTTATACTCTGTCCAAACCAAATCAATGTTATGCCAATATTTGTTGAACGACTCCATGAACGTACTCTTAGGCCCTACAGTATTCTCCAATTCCACATACACACTACCATATTCCTCTAACGAGAAGGCATAGATTAACTTCTTGAGAAGTGGCTCAACAATATACCACTGATCCGTGTGTTGCCTAAGTGTTTTCTTGGTTATCATGGCATCTTTCACATGAAAATCACATAGATGGATCTCTGCATTTGGCAAAACATCTCTAATAGCAACAATTTCTCCTGGATGTTTGTCAATGAACACAGTTTGGATCTTCTCAAGGAAGTCTGAGCATCCTTCTTTAAGAGCACCCAACACAGTAGAAAACACCTCTGTGGTCTCAGAAAGAACTAAGGCAGAGCCTGCAATTCGGCCTGCCCCATAACAATCGACAACCTCTAGAACAACTAGCGGCATATTGTTGTCGCTGATTTGATGGGTAGTGTCCATCAAGAGCACATCAGAGTATTTTGCTGTAGCCTCTCTCATGAAGGATGTTTAAAAAAAGATGACAGAAATAGTCATAGATGGTTCTTCATATGTCACAGAAACAAAAGAGCCAGGATCCTCTTCTTGCAATTTAATGAGCTGTCCAAACATGGCATCCTCTGGCGTTTCCTTGCTGCCTTTAGGACCATGGTGCAGTGCCCTCCATTTATTCCTGAATTAATTTTAGACATTAGGATAACTTCGATCAAAATTTAAACAGTTTGATTATTATATTGAACTTAAAATTTTATTTTATAAGATACCACATTTACCGAACATTTTGCAGGCTTTGAGAGGTCACAATTGTGCCATGGGACGACATCACGTCTTTCAGTACATGTGTTTTGACCTCCTTGTTTAAGAGGTCGAAACACTCAGCGACAGCCTCCTCGGAAGGCTTCATGTACTTGGGGTACTTACATAGGTTGTCAGGGTGCCGTATGTGATCCTCATGTACTTCAATCACCTTTGACACATAGAGGCACTGTTGATAAAGATTATACACAACACAAAACCTAGCTGGGCAGCCAACTTTGAATGTGCTGCAAAATAAACGAGAAATTAGCACAATTCAAAGCATAAAATACAGAGTTTGGCTGTACAGAATTTAAAGATATTTACAAACCTTTGGTTAGGCCTCCTCTTTGTCCCTTCTTTGTGCTTATGTAACTTCGGTTTGCCACCATGCTCACAATTAAATGTAGCACTCTTCCAAATCCAACTAAGAGGCATCCTTTGGTCCTCTTTGAGGGAATTGTGAGTCTCGGCAGACTGTGAATTGCCCACATTATAGGGGACAAACTGCTCCCTTTCATACTTTTCCCAAGCAGCCTTAAAATCTTCAATGCTTTTGAATGTTTGACCAACATAAATTGCTCCGGGCATCTTTGAGTGCTTGGCACCTGTTGAGGAGTCAGACCCCGGTCAATCGTATTTCGACATAATGCACTCGAAACGGGACGATCATTCCAACATAACAACTCACCGAATACACATAATACAAAACCAACTTCTTCACAAGTAATCAATCACAAAACTTAAATCAGTTGAACTTCACTGGCGCTTATCGAGATACGCCTTCGCGGTTCGGACTCGGACGAACGTATGAATTTCCCGGCCCGGCTAACAGATCGTTGTTATTCTGTTTGTTTTGCTTTCTGCTAAGCTATTGCCAACCTACCACCCCAAACAACCTCACATCTGTAAACTGTTGGTGTAAACTACTGGAAAAGTTCAAGATAACAGTCGAAAACCAATTTCAAAAACTCAGACTATTTTGAATTCAAACGTCTTCAGCAATTAGAAACAGTAAGATTTACAAGATTATTCATGAAACCCCTTTCCACGTCCACAACCCTCCCGCCCCTTCCCCCTCCCTTTCCGACATGGTGGGGTGTATAACACACAGGTTACTTATCCGCCCCAGTTAGTTGGTGTCGACAGCACGTCTTGTGTTATACACCCCAGCCGTGAGAGATCCGGGCTCGTTGGGGTGCATAACATCCAAGGGCCTATCCGCACCAGGCTCGTTGGGGTGCATAACGTCTAAGGGGCTATCCGCACCAATAGGTGATGAGGCGCATAACGTGTCTCTCCTTAGGGGCACCAATAGGTGTTGGGGCGTATAAAGTATCACATGCTATTCGCACCAACGCTGGGCCGTATAATAGTATCCAACTTAAATAGTGGAATAGATTGCAACAACATTCTGTAAGTGTGGGTGTTAGATCTTTGAAACCTCCACATCCTGTACTGAAATAATATAATGCAAGGCTTGATCATTGCATACGTATCATCTGCTTCCACGATCCGTGCTATGACGGAACTTTTTTTAAAATTGTATCAGAAATATTATTCAAACTTTGTTAATATTTTGCTAACAATTAAAAAACAATACTGATATTTTTACTCAACTCGACAAAAATAAAATAAATATTATTTCACCAGCTTTTTCTACTGATTTTGTCAACCATCACAATATAAACTAAAACATACTTTGCATAAATCACAGCATTTACTAAAGATAAAAAGCATAAGAAAAAGTAACTAACTAAGAACTTGGACCACTACCTTTGGAATTATTCATCATATTAGTAGCTAATATATTCACAAGGGTACTAGCCAGTTTCAACTTTTCGTCCTTGTAAGAGGTAGTTGACACTCTTGAAGTGTATGATCTTTTCTTCTTCCGAGGCTTCCTTCCTTTTGAAGATGTAACATTATTGTTGCGATCATCCTCTTCATCATCCTCTCGGATGTGCATTTCTTGAGAGTAGCCGGCAGATAAGAGCATCTGAGGTTGCATGATGCGACTTCTCTCAAAAATTTGAGACATGGAATCACGGTACAGCCAGTTATTTACATCTGCACCACTCCCAGTGAGGATGCGCATGTCTTCTCCCCAGTAGCGCCAACCGCATTAAATGCGATTAATGCGCATTGAAATGCACATAAAAGGTCACACATTGGTGACGCATTAAAAGCGCATTACAGCATTTAAGACGCATTCAATGCGCATTTAATGCACTTTACGCGCATTTAATGCGTCACCAGTGACCTTTTATGTGCATTTCAATGCGCATTGAAGCGCATTTAATGCAGTAGTGCTTCTGGGGCTATTTTTTTATAACGTTTAGCAAGGTAAGCCATTCGTCTAGAGCAATCTTCCCCAAAAACATTGAAGCCAGCCTCCTTTTGCACCTTGCTAATTTCATTGTATAATGCGTCACTTCTATTGACGTCATCGTCAAATAAATGTTTCCTTGAGTGATAGAATGAAATCAGAAGGAAAGTATTGCTCTCCTTAAATAACTGCCCAAGTTCTGAAATAAATAAAAATAACACTTCAGATAAAAAAAGGAAACCTCTGCATTAAATAACTATCCACAAAAAGAGAGCGAACCTTCTGGTGCACAGCCTGCAAATGTAGCAACTCCACAAACACATTTGTTTGTTTTTTTGTGTGAGACTTTGCTTTTTACTAGTTACTTGTGAAGGTTTGTACTTTGCAAGCATTTCCTTAAGATACTCTTCATCCATATCATCTTCTCCTTTAAACATACTAATGAGCCTCTTGTACTCCCAGGCAGGTTCACATGTTTCATGTGCCAATGAGAGTCGTTTCCATGCAGCTTTAATTTTTTTCATAGGGTAATACTGTTCCCTTTGGTACATAAATGTAGCAACATTAACCCAGTCCTTACGGATGTATTGTGTTGCATTGCTGGAGAGCAACTTTTCATTTTGAATTACCGCTTCAATGAACCTGATTGTTTCGTATGATGGCCAGTCAGACCTTGGAACAGTTCCTCGGGGCATTAGAGGTTCTCCCTTGGAGTCAAACACCACTGCAACTGAGAAAAAAAATATTAAAATATATTCAATTTTTAAACTAAAATTTAATTATTAATAAAGGTAAAAAAATTCAAATATTTAATCCTCAAGAACTACGTACCTAATAGAGTATTCCGCTGGTGGCTATTCGCCGCCCCGAGTATGAGAAATCGAGTGTGCGGTAGCTGCGCGGGCAGCTGGCTGTCGTAAAGAAACCGGAGAAAGTGTTTAATGCGATCTACTGTGACATTTGACGTAGACAGGTGAGGAACAAAACTTTTTCGACTAAATCGAGTGCGGGGAATTTATTTTTGATACTTATTCAGAGTAATTCTGCGTTTTTCACTTGATTTCCTCTGGAAAGGTGTCTTTTAACCCTATCGTTTCGAAGAAGGGAAGTGTTTTTTTGACAATTTAACACACTTAAATCAATGTTCAGCAATAGATTTGGGTTATTTCCCCTCCTCATAAATTTTGAAACCATTTTTATCCGTCTTTACATCAGATTGACAACTTTGTTAGGCGATTGTTTGGGTGTTTCACCTGCAACACATTATGCCTCTGCAAAGTGCTAGTGACGTGAGTACTGTAGTACAGTTTTTACCAAATCTATCTATGAATCGACCTTACACGTTGTAATACAAACATGTTTGTCTTTTGCAGTTACTTCTCGATCCAGAATGGTTGAACCTCCCTCACATTCATACTGGTTTTCCAGTATTGGACCACCCAATTAATTGCGTCCTACAAGTAAGAATCTTTCACGTGATTCTGTCTTTGTATTTCTCTCTTTGCAATTTTTTTAAAACTCAGTCTGTGTTCATCTTAAGGTTTTTTTCCACACACCGAGGTTTATTCGGCTACTCTGCGAATTGAACCATGACTGTGGCTCTGCCCAGCCATGCGTTTGTTGTTATTTGCTTAAAATATGGAAAAGTGTTCAGCTTGGCAATGTTCAGCGAGATCTGATCATTGGTCAGTTACCTTTTAATCTGTTGTTTTATCCTCACTGGTAACGTTGCTGTACTTAGTTTTGGTGTTATTGTGTGCACAGAGTTCTCCAAACTGATGCCAAATACCAGTGCCTTTGACATTGTCATAAGTATTCTTAGTGAGTTGCATTATATATTGGCACCTGTGAAAGAGTAAGTGATCAACCTATCTCATTATATTTGTGCTGATTATTGTGTGCTTATGACTACTTTATTACCTGTCACAGCTTGGAAGCGTCTCCCGTTCTAGAAATCTTTGGTGGCAGAATGGAGACAAGACGTAAGTTTGTAAATATGCAGTACACGTGTAGAAGAGTTATATAATATTGGTTGATGAATGAATAACAAGTTGTTTTTTGTTGTTAGATAAATGTGTGAGCTGTGAGATGACATCAGTGAACAATGAGCTACTGTTATGCATGCAGTTGTCTCTCTCAGAGTCAGAGAACCTGCAGCAAGTAATTGATGAGGCTTTCAAAACTAAAACAATTCGATGTCCCAAGTGTTCAGGAAAATTTTGCAATGTCCAGAAGGAAATAACAGAAGCTCCTATGGTGTTGCTCTTGCATGTCAGTCGGTCAGCTTTGCTTTACAAGAAATAAGTTTAAGAGTCACACCAATGAACATTTTTATTCTACTTCTCTTTTTCAGAGTACCAGAATGGTCAAAAGATAA